CAGAGGAGGGGAAAAACCCAGCATCCTCCTGCTCACGTTATTGCCACAGGTTTAGCCAGTGGTCTTGGGGAAGTCACACAACTTGATTCTCCTGGGGTTTTTAGCCAGTAAACCTCAAGGTAAATAACAAAATCAGAAGAAATCACCACCCTTTCTGCCCTCATAAATCCAGGGTTTCTTGCTCCACTGAGGCAGAGCTTTGAGAAGATTGAGGAGCTCAGGACGGGTTACGATCACTGGATGAGCCTGGAGGTCTTCTCTAGGTGGAGTGTCTTGGGGAGGGTATCTCACTGAGCCCAGGCATCTCATTTCTTGACTCGGTGTGTTAGAGTGAGATCCACCGAGAAAAAAAACCTACCAGTTTCCCACTGGATCAAGAGTCAGATTTGATGGCTGCCCAGAGAAGCTGTGGACGCCCCATCCCTGGAGGGGTTCAGGACCAGGCTGGATGAGGCTTTGAGCAACCTGGGCTAGTGGGAGGTGTCCCTGACCATGGCAGGGGGTGGAACCCAATGATCTTGAAGGTCCCTTCCAGCCCAAACCCTTCCGTGATTCTATGATTCTATGGGAAGCACCTCAGAGCCATGCGTTGGTTAAATCCCACCTGAGGAAGGGAGCAGGAGCCCAGCTGGAGGGAGCAGAGGGGACCAGGACCTGTGCCAGGCTGCAGTGCCATCATACCGATTAAAGCATAAAACCACAGCCCAATCACGTGCACACATCTGGGAAACACAGAAATTGGAGAAACTGTGGCATTTGGCCCTGAAGATGGCCTTGAAGATAATCCAGAGGATGACAAGCGTTGCTAGAAGTCTTGCTATGGAGTGGATGGACCCAAATATTTCCAGGGTTAGACATGAGACAAAATCGGTAGGAAAAGGACAGCGGAGGCTGGCAGAGGAGTGTTTGCTGTTTGCTTGTGTTCCTGGGAAGCAGGAGAGGCTGGTTGCCAGTTGAACAGCTCCTCTGGGCGGTAGCTGCCTGGCTGGCGTGGATGGGCTTTTAACGTTGAACGCTTGGCTGCATACAGACAAAACTCCATGGGCTCCGCTTAACGTTGGGACCTGTCTGACAGCAAAGCTTTTGAACTGCCAATGTATGGGTGGGAGAAGACAACAGTGACCATCCTTTTGTTTATACAGTATTTATTTATCAACGGCATAATAAAATTATCCTTTTTTAATGTTTTATTTTTCAGAAAACAAACTCTCTCCTTTTCCTCCTTATGCCAAAATACAGTCTGGCAGCTGTTTTGCCAATCAACAGGCACAGAGCTGATAATGGGTGAGCAATGCTAAAGACATACAGTGAGGTGGGGGACAGTCCCAGGATGCAGTTATTATTCTACACAATTATTTATATATTAACATTTCACATATAAATTATTACTATATTTATAATTTAGATATTAACAGTTGGAGTTAGCTTGCATTCATATTCATGGTCTTTTTTAAAAAAAATTTGTTATTCCAGATTTCCTTGTTTTTTTTAATTCCTTGGGTCTTGCTTCTCACCTGTTTCCTATTTTACCCAACAGAAACAGCACAAATAGCAACTAATTAACAAACTCTGTCATCTCACCATTGTGTTAATTGGCTTTGAAAAGAAATAGCGGCCCTTCCCCTTCCTCTGGAGCTCTGAGAGGCTCAGCCCCTGCAGCAGGCTGGTTCTTTTGGGAGCTCCCTGCTCTTGGGGGTCTCCCAGAGGTCACAAAGTCCTCCTATGCAGGTAAAATAGGTAATTAAGTCAGTCGTGGTGAAGGGATTTTGAAACCCAGCCTCTCCACAGCACCTCCAGCTTTATATTACTTTTAATGTAGCAGTAGTGTGGTGTTCAAAATGAAAAGAGGGGATTTAAATGGGGTCTGGTCACCAGGTGCACAAATGGCTTTGGGTGCTATGCTTTCCCTGACTGGTATAAAATTGAGGATCTTTGTTCCTGAATCACTTCTGAAATCAGAATTTCCTTTTTCTTTTTTCCCTTGAAGGTGAGCTCCGAAGCTTATGTGTTCCCCTTGTTCATGGCGGGGTGTGTGCTTGTCCTCCTCCTGCCATAGTTGCAGCAGCCGGGAGGGGAACATGAGCCAAGACCAGCCACACCTGACCATACAGACCACTCCACGGCATTAGCTTGCGAAGTTGAGCACAACAAGAAGTTGTAACCCACTTTTACCTTCCATCATGCCCAAAGGCTGACGCAAGAAGCTCAGGAAGAAAACTTAATTAAAAAGCCCCCAGAACAAACACTGATGTTCTCATGGCTGTTGTTAGCAATAACAGAAGAAGTGAGAAGCTAAACTGAGGCACAGCTCCCTTGAGACACCTTCTTTATATTTCACAGATGTGTCCTGGGGGGGGTTTGTGTTGGGCTGTTTTATTTACTGAGTCAAATAACTCGTTGTCCCTTTGGCTGATACCACTTCTCCAGAGCCGCAGCAGCTCAGAGAGACAGCAGCACCGCTCCCAGCATGTATTTTAACTGATCTTCTGAGCTGCAGCTTGGGTTTGATCAGAAACCACTGAGATGGTAAGAAAAGAATCTCTTCGGCATTATTTTATATTTTGTCATAGAATCATGAAGGTTGGAAAAGACCTCAAGGATCATCAAGTCCAACCGTCAACCCAACACCACCCAACCCACTAACCCATGTCCCGAAGCACCACATCTACATGTTTCTTGACCCCCTCCAGGGATGGTGACTCCACCACTGCCCTGGGCAGCATGTTCCAATGCCTGATCACTCTTGCAGTGAAGAAATGTTTTCTAATCTCCAGCCTAAACCTCCCCTGGTGCAATTTGAGGCCGTTTCCTCTTGTCCCATCACTCGTTCCTTTAGAGCAGAGCCCAGCACCCACCTCACTGCACCCTCCTTTCAGGCAGTTGTAGAGAGTGATGAGGTCTCCTCTCAGCCTCCAGACTAAACCCCCCAGCTCCCTCAGCCGCTCCTCATCAGACCTGTGCTCCAGACCCTTCCCCAGCTCTTTTTGTGGATTTTATTGTCCTTCATCATACAAGTGATTCTTCCCCGATCTCTGAGTAAACACTCTCTGTGATGGCACACTGAGCTGTAGTGGTAGCAACAGGATTACCGCTGGCTTTGTGTTAACTCACCGACTCACAAAAACCCAGTTAATTTGTGTCCTGAAGCTTACGAAGATTAACTGCAAGTCCTGGAACCAGGAGGAATTTGCTTTCTCTGCCCTCAGCCACCAAGGTGGCACCTGGGCCCTGCCAACGGACGCAGCCAATGACCCTGTGGGCAGAGAGAGGCCTTCCCGTGCAGGCAGGCGCTGCCAGGAACAGGCTGTGATTACAACCCGTTAATCACCCTATCACAGCATCCATCGCTCTGCCCTGTCTGTGGGGGACAGGTAACCTCGGCCTGCTCCTGTCACCTCGTCACATCCAAGTGTCCCTCCCGCCGGGCCTCTCCCCCATCGCCTGGTGATGCTGCCATGTCCGCCCTGCGGCCTGCTGGGGCGAGCCAGAAGGGAACGGGTCTCCCCTCACAGACCTTCCCCAGGCCTGGAGTGGGGGGACAGGTCCGGTGTGGGGCGGGGGGGGGGG